GGTTATGGCTTTGACTCTTGCGCCGTCGATGCACGGAAGTGGAAGGATAAATTGTTTTACAATTCTGCATCCCAAATTTACAAGCGCCAAGCTCCCGAGCCATTTCATATTTACCACCCAGTGACAGGCAGGGCAGTCACATTGTCTGGGTTTATCTTTTATGCTCTCTTCTGTGCGTCTTTCGTATTTTTTATGTATTTTATTAAGTACAAATATCAGCTCCACCTCAGTTAAATGGCTATTTTATTTATAGGCTTTTGTTTTTTTTTTCCTTCCATCATACACTTTGGCTATACTTTCTTTGTTTCCTTTTCTTTTTTGATGTTCTCTCTCTCTCTCTTATCACTTCGAATGGATGTGAAATAAATTATGTTTTTGTCATTGCAATGAGACAAAGCTTAATTGAGTTTTTATCAATTACAAGGCATCGCTGTGGAAACGAAGTGAAACTTCAAGGATCAAGCAAGGTGATGAAGGGGTGAGTGACGGAGCGGGAAAGCAAAAACATAAAAGTGCACCGCCAATGACAAAAAGCAACAGATAATAGAATGCGACGATTTGGACGATGGACGATTTTATCATAAAAAAAAAAGAAATGAAAATAATAACAAATAAATAAAATTAGAAATTAGCAAAAAAAAAAAGGAAGAAAAATTGCAAGAAAAAAATGTAAAATAAAGTTCAGGGGCGTATTTGGTGCCATTATGCAAACGGCCGCATTCACAGCAGCAGCAGCGGAGATTAGAAGGTCAATGGGGGTCGCAAACATACAAGCACACGGAGACATTCATTTGAATTAAACATGAGAGCTTGTATGCACTTGTGGGCCGTTTGCCGAACGAGTGTACGAGTGTACGTAATTTAGCATGCATATACACTATACTTGCATACACACATACATATGGATAAGGATTTGTATACCGAAATGTCCTTCAATGTCTCGAGTGGACTGTTCGCTTTTGTTTTTTTGTTTTGCGCTTTCTCTCTCTTCAGCTGTTGCTAGTGTTTGGTGGCATGAGAGTTGGGCCTTAATATGCATGTGCACGTATGTATGTATGTATGTATGTATGTCCTTACATGGTCATCGTCTGAAGTGTCTCTACTTAATTAAATGTTGCTTTCTCTATAGAGATTTTGTATTATTTTAATCGTCCAGAAATTGCTTTAATTAGATTATCCACTTACTAGTTATATACATACATACGTGTATATACACAATGACAGATAATTACTTATGCAAGGAGTATGTTTGTGTGTGCATGTTTGCACGAATACACATGCAAGATCTCGGAAATTCGATTATTAGCTGATGAAAAGAAGGCTGGGAAAACAATAGAGCAGTAAGTGATATTAAATTCCTGCTGCCAGCAGAGCTCGTGGGCTGTTGCTGGAGCCTTCAATGAGCATGTAGATTAACTTTCAAGAGAAAGGTGCTTATTTTGCTGCACTTGGTAGAAAGGAAGGGGAGGTTGAAGACCCGACCGCAAGTGGCTGCACCTTAGCCATTGTACTCATCCGCTTATCCCAACCCTGCTTTTGCGACTAATTCGCTCGATTATATGAACTGCCTTAGTCTCTTTCAATCATATAAACCCACCATCGGAAGGCTAGACCAGGGAGCGTCCAGAAAGATATACGTGGTCACGTGCTCTATTGCGTCCTCCATTATCATGTACAAGAAAGAAATTAAGTTTGTCAAGAGAAATGCATTACACCATACAAAAGAGGCAGTTAACAGATTATCGTGGGAAAACACTGGCAACGAAAGGGGACGAGCTAGTTCGCGCTGGCAACGTCGGCGAGGTTATGACCATCGACGGTCTCAGATCATTCAGCGTCTTCAAATCTTGTTTCAAATAGTGGAAAACTTAAGATCTTGGAACTTTTTTAACGTCGGACGCACCGCGTGGATAGCAGACAGACCAAATTGTTACTTGCATTAAGTAAAAAAGAACTTAGCAATCTTAAGTTTGTATTAACGGAGCATTTACCTCTGAGCTACTATTTCCATAAGCTTAGTAAAGTGGAATCGGCAACATGCTGAGCATGCACACAGGATGACGAATCTCGGGAGGACCACCTTTGTGAGCCCCACCATCGTATATTGATCAATTTTTCTATTGGAGCGGTATCAACTGATTTATTCTTAGAGTACTCCCGCTGTCGGTATGACCGCCAATTCGAGGATATATCTGACCCGAC